GGGCAGATGTCAGCTGGGACACCTAGTGAGTGATGAGGGTCCTTGAGTCTCCCCTCCATGGAAGTCTCTGGCAAGTGGGGACTGGAGGAAGCAGGGGTGGGCTGTGAATGTGTTCCCCCACCATCCTGGAAGTGGGAGGTGGGGGTTTCTACGACCAGGGGCTCTAGGGCCAAGTAGCTGTGCTGGGGTGACTTCCAGGCTGGGGGTTTTTTCCATGACAACCGGATCCAGAACCCTGAGCTTGGGTCCCACCCTCAATTGTCTTCGAAGATCGAGAGCAGCGGTTCTCAACCTGTGGATCGCGACCCCTTTGCAGTCGAATGGCCCTTTCACAGGGGTCACCTAAGACCATCCTGCATATCAGATATTTACATTTCGATTCATAACAGTAGCAACATTACAGTTATAAAGTAGCAACGAAAATAATTTTATGGTTGGGTCACAACATGAGGAACTGTATTTAAAGGACCAGAAGGTTGAGAACCACTGATCTAGAGACTGATGAGGCCGTTGGAGTCCCAGTTTCACTTTGCAACCAGTAGTTCCACTCAACCTGGTGGCTGTCATCCCCCTCGCCCTCCTCCCCCACTCAGTTCTGGTGATGCTGTGACCACAACAGCCCAGGCACTCTCTCCTCATCTGCTGACTCATGCCTTCTCATCACTCACTCAGGCTGCCCCATCAGAAATATCACCCTGCCTGCCCCATACCGCCCCCTCCTGGGTATAGCCTCCCCACTGGGTCCTACAGAAGCATGGAGGAGCCTGCGCAGGCCCATCTAGAAAGTGGTGACTGGGAGGTGAGCCTAGAAGACAAAAGGGAATGCAGGTGAGAATGCCATTGGAGACAGTGAGCTGTGAATGAGGAGTATGAGAACAGGTGCGGATGCAGGTGAAAATATAAGTAAAGGTAAGGGTAAGTTTACAATCAGACATGTAGGTGGGGGGCCAGGTGAGGATGCAAAAAAAAGCAGGTGGATGTAGTCGAGGTAAGAGAGGAGGTGGATGCAGGTAAGAGAGGAGGTAAAAATTCAGATGAGAATGTGGAAAACATTCAGGTGAGGATGCAGTAAGAAGACAAGCAAGTAGGTGAGAATTCAGGTGAGGGAGCGGTGAGCTGCAGGTGAGGATGGTGAGGCATAAGTGCACAGGTGAGAATGCAAATGAGATTCTTGCGGATTTCAAGTAAGGACTGAGCTGAGATGCAAGTGAGGCAGCTAGGGAACAGAGCTGTCATTTTCCGTCTCAAAAAGACCTCCAGACTTTGGGAGATCACATGGAATACAACTGAAGCTTTATTGGGGGGAGCAGCCTGATGAGGGCTCAGTTGGGACAGCCGGAGATGATCATGTTCTCTCTGAAGCTGGCCAGGTCCCTGCACAGCTTCTTGTTCTCATCGTCTTGGCATTCGTCCGCTTCAGGCCACAGTTCTACCCAGGTGTCCTTCCTGATGATGTACTTGATGCTGGGGAGGAGGGACACA